GGCAATTGTGCTACTTGGTTCTAATGATGCTGTTTGCAATGAAACGGATCCACGGGGACTTACTGTAGAACAGTATACTACGAACTTAACAGACATCTTGATGCAATTTATGAATGATGGGATAGAAGCAAGTCAACTTGTTTTATTGACACCACCAGCAGTAGTGGATGATAAATACAAGAAATTTTGTGCAGAACTTGGTAAGTAACTGTACTATTGTAAGCACTGTCGTTAGGAGAAATTTGATGCTGGTCTCTCGTAGGGTTCAAAGAGTAAAAGAAATTTCCTCAGAGAGGAAAAATGATAACTAAATAAATATACAATTTTCTTTTAATTTTATATGATTTTACCAAAAGTTGGAAATGGAGATTGAAATCCTCTCATCACATATCCACTGCCAGACAATTATTATTATTCAAATTAGTCTGTCATTTTTTGGACTATTTTTGTTCTTGATAGAAATTAGTTGATTCTGAGCCTAGGGGTTTCTTTCTCAGAGATTTTGACTACACGTGAATGATTAATACAATGATTGTTAATTGTCTCCACAAGATGTACCAGTAAGCCTTTGCGATGGGCAGGTAAAATGTTTTGCTGAAAAATGTGTAGATGTGGGAAAAAAGCTTGGAGTGGAGGTTGTCGATCTTTACAAGTTATTCCATGGACAGCCGGTAAGTCAGGATGTTAAACTGTAGATTTTATCAACTTGTGCAGGTAAAAAGTTAGAAACACACTTTCACTGACTTTATTAAAATAGCTCTTGGACTCATCCCCAACCCCCCCACAAGTTATCAGGGTGCTAATGAACTTAAAAAGTATTATCATAGGACTTGTTCAGCCCCACTTACGCAATCCCATAGAAAACCAAAGTGAAAGCTGATGTGCGCAGGGCTGGATGGGTTGACTCAAGCAGGTCCAGAAAAAGCCGTCCGCCCACACTGCCCTCACATTGGTGCACCCAGTCTGGACATCATGATCTCAAGCCAAATATTTTCCCATATGGCCTTCCCACTCAGTCAATAAGTAAATATTAATTCCCTAAAAGCTCTCCTTCACTGTGGTACCTGAATATTGTTTTATCACCCACCCTAAATTCCACCTCTGCTTCCATATCTTAACAAAATGCCCCCTTCCCCCTCCCCTCCCGTCATCAGTTAGCACCTAGCTTTTATATCCCAGGCCTTGAAGCTCAAACTTCATCTAAATTGCCTGGTGTTCCTTTGTAAAACCAAGGGAGAAGTAGATCTTGCATCAAAAGTCACCTTTGCGCATTATATTCCACCCCCCCCTCCCATATGCTGACGTCTGTTCTCAACCTTACACTGCACTCGTAATTCAGCCACTGGGTTGCAAGTGGTCAGATATAAACTATATTACTATAGGGTATATATATATATATACATACATATACATACGTATATACATATATACATATGTTAATTGACCACTCCCCATGGGGGCTTTTCAGGGACAATTCCCACCCAGCAACCACCCCAGGGGAGTACATCCATCACACAGTAATCTCGTACATGGGAAATTAACGTCTCCTACCCCTAACCCTGCAGGAGACGGAACCTCTATTTATTCATCCCTATCCGAGAAGACTAGAGTATCTAACCAATTCTTTATAGAAAGGTAGCACATTCTTCTCACTTGTTTTAAGACCTTCAGTGTTGGTCCTCCCCCACCAATTATCAGGTGTCCTCACAGTCCACAACTTAGGATCTAATAAGTATTGCATTATATATTCAGAACTGGGAGTCGTTTCTAAGTGATGGCCTCCATTTTTCAAAAGAGGGAAACCAATTTGTAGCACAGCAAGTGATTCCAGTGCTGGACACAAAGTTGGGAAAACTGCCTATGATATTTCCTGACTGGAAGGACGTTGACCCAAAACATCCAGATAAATATTTCAGTTAATAATTAACACCTTTAGTTAACTGATTTTTTAACATGCACATCTTTGCATGAGTTTCTCTCTCTTGATCATAATTTGAATTATTATTATTATTATTATCATTATTATTATTATACCTGAATATTGTAATCATGAAAAGGTTCTAGAAGGGATTCCAGCTCTCATTTTCTTAATAGATAGATTCCATGTGTGCATGGGTCTGTTCAGTAATATATCACAGATGACATCAAATATGTTAAGAACAAAAAAGGGTCACAGAGGCTCAGCTGAGTGTGTCACTGGTATTCTTATCGCATTTTGAAGTCTTCTGTGATTGATTACTGTGCAAGCCCACAGCAACATGGAATCTCTTTGTTTCACATGATAAGAAAGAAAAATGTTAAGGGTGACATCATTGGTGATATGTACCTTGTCCTCCAACAGATCATAATTAAGAACCAATCAGAATGCGTGCATGATCCAGCTTATAGTGATATCAAATATTATAAATAATAATAATAATAAATAAAATGTGTTTCAATAAACGTGCATCAAAATTATCCTTATAAAAGTAAATTACATTTAAAAAATGTGAGGAGGGAAATGACACTCTTACTAAAAGAACTAAGAAAAAATTTAAAAATGTCTAGCCTATATTTACAGTTTTTTTTAGAGTAAGAGTGTCATTTCCCTTCTCATATATTTTTTTTAATGTAATTTACTTTTATAAGGATAATTTCGTTGCACGTTTTTTGAAATTCTTTCAATACGAACTAGTAGTTGCTTTCGCGATTTTTATATGTGTAGGTCGTTTTTATTATCAAAGGTAGTTTGGGTTTGATACGAGTCTTATTCTAGAGAACCAAATTTAAGAGATGTGTTCCGTGTCAATTAATTTGGAAATGTACGAGAGGAAAAACCATTACCCACGCGAAGTAATAAAATGTGTTTATAAATAAATTTAAAGAGTCAAAAGCTTTAAATCGATAACATAATTGAAATATCAAAGTTTAAAAAATTAATAGAAATCTTTTAAAAAAGTTTTTAGCTTGGATTTAAAAATAAATAAGAGATGTGTTTCTAGCAGATATAGTTAAAAGTTGTGGAAACAAAGTTGAATTGTGATTGTGTGCAACTTCCTCATAAGCATTGCACAAATCAAATTTGGATATTTTTATTTATTTCAATAAATATGACGCACTTCTACAAATGATATTTACAAGCTTAAGGTAAGGTATAGTTCATTCATGTTCTTTGGATAGTTCTGCCTGGAGTATTCTGGTGGGTGGAATTTCAAGCTCTTGATTCACCTAGTGAGACAACCATAATATTAAATTACATCTTTCCTATCTGTTCATGCAACATTGTTGATCCAAGCAATATGCAGGACACGTCACATGCAGCTGTTTGCAGAAGGGTTGCGGGAAAAAGGCTAGCATATGTGACAACTCCAAAAGGCATTGTGGGTAGTTTTCAAGTCTCAGTTTCTTGACCAAAGGATTTCAGGGAAAACAGCACTGTTCGAAAGAGGCATAACGGGGTTCATGAATTTTTTTCTTGTTTACGAGAAAGACTTTTAATTTTAAACTTGATGAAAAACCGAAAAAAGAATTAACTCAGTGACCCTAATGAACACGAAACACAATGTAAACTCAACTAGAGCAAATTGAAAGTGGCATTAAGTAAAAATTTTTACAACGTAATATTCTGTCGTTTTGTCCATCTCGTTTTCACATGCAGGTTGCTATTCATCCCATGTTCATTAATCGTTTTATCCATATTTATTTGTTCCACTTATTAAAATTCATAGATTACCAGATACCATTTTGAGTCGCATGCACTTTGTCCTTTTTTTCTGACAACCCTTCTGCAAACAGCTGTATGAACCTAGTAATTACTTAGCTCACCAAATAGTGGAGATGGGAATGGAAATGGGAATGGAAATGGGAATGGAAACAGGAACAGGAGTGGGAATGGGAACAGGAGTGCAAATGCAATGGGACTGGGAACGAGAATGGGAGTGGGACTGGGAACAGGAGTATGAATGAGAATGTGAAGAGGAGTGGGGAACAGGAAAGGAAACAGGACTGGCCGTGGAAATGGGTATAGGAATGGAAACAGGAGTGGGAATGGGATTGAGAATGGAAATGGGACTGAAATGGAATTTCGAGTCTCTGTAGCTCACTGGTAGAACTTCAGTGTGGAATTGGAACTTTTTGAGGCTAAATTCCTGAGAGGTGGTGATATTATTTCTTTGTCCCACAATAGTGACATGATGAAAAATCCTCTTTCTCTAAGTTATGAGCTGTTAACTATTTCAAACTTTAACCTGTGAGTTATCTTTTCAAAATGTATTGTAACTGCTGACTAATCATGGTTTTCTTTACAAGTTACTAAGATTATTAATAACCATTGTTTGGTCATATTTTCTCACCCGTTAGGAAATACAACAAGGCACAAAACCTCCTAGTGATTCTGAACAGACGAGAAAAAATGAGACTCAGTTGCAGTTCCCAAAGACAATTTTGAGATCAGTTGAGGAAAAAATTTAGCTTACTCTGGAGTTCACATACTGATGGAGAAGCATCCTTAGCTCTGCATTCTGAAAACAAAAATCAATATATCAGATACACATTTATTAATACAAGACCTTTCCTGACCACATCACCAAAATCACAGCTGTGTGATATTGGTAATTCCAGTTTGTGAAATCAAGTAACTTGGTGAAAATGGTGCATTGTTTGGCACACACTAATTTAATTTAATACATTAATTTTGAAGAGTACAGAAACTAAGAAAAGGTCACATGCTTTACACAGGGTTGTCTAAAGAAGCTGGCAACCAGTGCATATCACTATCTACGGGCGCGGATCCATACCGGTTTCCACCATTTCACGGAAATCGGTCAGAATTTTCATCCAAAAAAAAAAATAGAAATGTATATATTTTTGATAAAAGTAAGCTGTAAGTTGAATGTCGAAAATAGTTTTGAAATTTATTTTTATTTATTCTTTTTTGCCAATTACCAGAAATAGAAAGGGTCATAGAAACGTTCTGGCGGCAAAATTTTACAGCTTTGAAGGAGATCGACCATACGATGTACCCTAATATCACAGAGTGCCTCAAAATATTTGCCACCTCACCAGTCACCACATGCGAGTGAAAAAGGAATGTGTCGGCTTTGAGGCAACTGAAAACATATTTAGGAAGCATGACGTCACAGACTAGATTGACAAGACTTGCCTTGCTGCACATTCATAACAACATGGACATTGACTTTGACGAAATAATTTGCTGATTTGCAAGGCTTCATTCAAGAAGAATGGAACTGGGAAATATATTGTCTGACTGACTCAAAAAGCCAGGAAAGGGCATTTTAGGTAGTTAAAATGGAAAAAATTTCCCGGGGGAGCATGCCACCGGACCCCCCCTAGGAGCTTATGCCTCCAGCGCTCGTTTTGCAGTAAATCAGTCAAAATGTTTCGTAGATCCGCGCCTGATCTGCTCTGAAAAAGGCATCAGGTATTCCAAATGCTTTTTGCTCAACTTTCAGCAGAGAAGCATAACATTGATGACCCCTGGTACAATTTTCTTTTTGCAAGTTTCGGTAGAAATACTGCTACATTCTAAAATGCTGGTCAGGATTTGTGTCCATGGATTTCTTCAATTTGCTTTGTTCATTCTTAAAATTTAGGGTTTACATAATCAATATAACTAATATTTTTGTTTCTTCTTCTCTTGGTTTATTATTACCAATCTGCTTTTCCCTTTCCCTTTGTCTATCACAGAAAACTGTGCAAAATATTGCTCAAAACATTGCACAAAATATCTCTTCCAAATCTGTTATCACACCATCTCTTGCTCACCTGCTGTTGAAGTGCATCTGTTTCTTGGATCAAAGCTGCCCTCTCGGTCAACACTGCCAAGTACTTTTCAAACCCATCTAACAAAGCTGTCCAAACTCGCTCTTCCTTTACATCTATAACTGAAGCCGCATTTTGCCAGAA